ACCTCCTTCTCTCGGTGGCTTTCTGTCTGTCTCTGGACGATGTTACCGCTGCTAGGCTGCCAGTGAGCTCTTCCCCTCATCGGGGAGCAAGCGATGAAGAGCCGTTTTGTTGCTTCCCTCTGAACCTTGGGGAGATCCTGGCCAACAGCAGGAACAGCAATGCAGAGCATGTGCCTTCGGCCGCTTTGTGTCACCAAGCAGTGACAATCCTGAAGGTGATATCTGAAAGATAAGTCTGTGAATTCTTCACTGGTGCTTGTTGCCAGAGGATGGGTTCAGCAAAAGGGCTGCGATGGGCTGGTCATCTAGCATTTCGTGGGGCATGAATAGCACAGATTGGCCTCGGCCCTCGTAGGAAGCAGAAAGAGGAAATTTGGCAATTCCTCACTTTACCATGGTGCAGGAGTTGACTCTTAATGAAATAAAAAAATCAGCCACCTCCTCTGCAAGCTGCCTCTGTGCTCAGATCCCTGCTCCAGGCTTTCATGCTTGGTTTCCAATTCCAGCTGAGAGAAGATGAGGTTGGGGTGAGGTGGAGAGGGTTACTTCTGTCGCTCTTTGTGTCACTGACTTGACTTTATGCTGCAAACACAGATGCTTCACCTAATCGGCAGGGCCCAATCCTGCAGAGGCCTGCAAACAAGCAATCCAGTGAATGAGAATGGTCTCCTTGATGTCAGAAGTGGCTGCTCACATACCTGGGTCTTGAATTTTACCTTTGCTTGAAAGTTGCATAACTTAGAATAATTCTCTGGTTGCTGAACTATTTCATTTCAAGGTGTCCCATTCAAGGGTTGCTCTTCTATGGTTTATGTTTATTTTTTTTAAGTGCAATAAAACCGAAGTCAATTGATGACACTTAAGTGAAGGACTCTTGTGTTTGTGTTCTGCTTCAGCATCACGCTGTGCTTTAAGCAGTGCCTCGCAGAGATGTGATGGAGGATTTGCAGTCTTCGCTCCAGCTTCATCGTCTGGTGGGGAGATGAGGAGGCTCTCCAGCATCACTCAGCAATGTGGCTGTTTTAATGGATCCAGCTCCAACCTCAGCAATATTATGGCAGAGTGTCTGCAAATTGAATCCTTTGTAGAGAGATCAAGGAGGGTAGCTCTGAGTGTGTGCTAGAACAGCAAAATAAGCACACTGCTTTTCAAGATGCAAGTGCCAGCCTCTAAATGTGAAATGGGAAGAAGGGGAAGGGCCCCTCCAGGCAGGGTTGGTGCTGGGTAGGCAGCTTGTTGCAACCACTGACTCACTAAATTCTCATTCACAGAATCATCATCTCTTCTTGTATTGCAGCTGAGTAACCAGTGCCCTGAAAGTCCTTTCGAGCTTAGTGAGACGAATCTTGTACTAAGGTGAGACAAAATGTACAGGAAATGCAAACTTTGGCAAACTTTGGCATTTTTTTTTTTTTCTTTCCAAACACTTGCAAGCCCTTTGTAGGGACTGATCTGTGCCACGGTTCAGTGGGTCTTTCTCTGCCGCAGCACTGAGAGGATGGCGATGGCACGAGCACAGTACAATAGCGAGCGTCTCGTCTTCCTTTTGGCCCTTGAAATAGTTGTCTGTTGTCCCTGTGGGGCCGGGGGCCGTGTGTGGCTGGCAGGATGTGCTCAGCACAGCGGCAGGCAGATCTGCTGAGCTCATGGAAACTCAGCTCGGTCGAACACGAGGAACAGTGCTTTTTTTTTTTTTTTTTTTCTTCTTCTTTAAATAAAACAGAAACCAAAATGCGATGCCTTGCAAGCCACAGTCACCCACACAGCCAGCTTCTGTGTCGCTTTGCAGGTAAACAAATGCTGCGGCCTGGAACTGTGCTATAGTTAGACTGACCAGTTTGTGCAGAGAAGTCAACGTGCCATTTTCTTGGTGCAGGGAAGAAAGTAGGTTGTTGGAAAGCAGGCAGCCAGAGTGATGGAGCCAGAGTCTTTCTGAGCCTCTGGGGTCCTCGGAGGGTGCTAAGGGAATTGTACCTAAGTCTGGGAGAAGTTGAGCTGTGTCCCTTTCAGGATGACCTCTCAGGGGCACCTCTCTGCTCCTTCAGAGGTTCATTTTCTGGTTGGTTTGAGGAGGTGCTGGTGACTGGTATTTCCAGAAGATGTCTCTTTGGTGTTTGTGGATCTCCCCTCTCCAAGTCGTTCCTCTCTGTAGGCCACTCGCATCTCCCTTTTGTTCTACTGTGGGAGCATAGGAGCTGCTGGAAGACGAGGTGCATGCAGGAAAGCTGAAATGTGGGCAAGCAGAGCAAGCCACGCTCCTCCTCTCTTTATAAATCAATGTCCCGATGATTTTTCCAAGGTACAGTCTTAATACCACCAAGAAAGCTTCCTGATTTTTTTGTGGTAAGCAGGGAAATGCTGAAATGAGGTTTATTTGCTTTAATAAACGTGCAAAATTAGGTCCTCATTTCTACTTCAGGTGTGTTTTGGAAAATATTTGTTCATCTTTCAGCAAACAATGGCAGAAGTGGCCTGGAAGAGAGCAGGGTGGGAGTGCCGTGTGTGGTATGTCGAGAGGCATTTCCTGCCCTTATCTCCCCTCCTTCGAGGTATTGTAAATGGGGCTTCAGATCTGCAGCCTGTGTTAGTGGAGCGGAGATCGCCAAAAAAGATACCTTCCCCTGAATGCCTGCAAGGGGCAGGAGCGGTGCCGAGTTCACCAGAGGTGGCGAAGAGCTTTCCAGCCAAGTGCCTGTGCTTGGAAAATGTGTCTGCCCCAAAACAGAAGCTTTTTGACGAGTGGGCTGCATTTATTCCAGTCTTGTCAACAGCATTTCTAGGGGCTGTGGTGAGTCCTGGCTCGTGGGGGCTGCGGGCACAGGTCAGGGATGGCTGCGTGGGGATCTCGTGCCGTGGAGGAGCCGTGGCGTGCTTCCCTCGCTTTCCAGTGGCACGCTACAGTTGTGACTTGATATTTTCCATCTCAGGCAAACGTTTGAATTTCTAGGTAGTATCTCTCTTACGAAAAACTTTGCAAGGGTTTGCGTTTGCTTTAGTTCCACACAGGGACATTTTTTTGCAATCTTAAGTTCTTACGGGATGGAACAGGGACTTTTTGTTCAGGTCGATCCTGAAACCCTCAAAATAAGGTTTTCAGGTGCTGCTGAAGCTGTTCTTGGCCTTCTGGTGGCCATTTACTGGATAAAGCGACTGCCCGGGACCTGCCTGTGTGCTCTGGCTGAGTTTGTTTGCTTCCAGTTCTCAAATCAATTATCTTGTGGAGGAAATGGTGTGCCTCGCTGTCAGTCTGCAGAGATATTTATAGGTAAGGTCAAAGCCCTGTGGAAGGTCTGTAGCAGTGTTTGGAAGGAATGGATGTCTCAGCCTTACGAAATTCACTGGGATGTGGTGGATGTGCTGCATTGCATGGACATTTCCCTGCAGCTCCTCAGAGTAGTCCCTCCTCAGTTGGGCTGCTTTGCCCTCTGAAGAGGGATGAACAGTGGCTTTTTCTGGCTTGGCTGGATGGGATGAGGTTTGGTATCCTCACCACGTTTCTCACCTGGGTCTAGCTGCCTAGCTACCTCTATTCTGCTGCTATTTTTCCCATAGATGCTTTGCATCCATTGCTTAAGAGAATGTTTCCTGTCTTTTGAAGCAGGAGAGTTGAGCAAGGAAGGGTTTCAGCTGCCCTGTTGAGGCTTTCTCAGATGCTGTGAATATGTAAGCTCTCCAGTCTCCTTTCTCAATCATCTCTTCTTTTTTTTTTTTTTTTTTTTTCCCCTCTTTCTCTTCTTTTCCCCTCCCCTTTCCAAGCTGGCTGAACCATAACAGCTCTTGTCTCATATGTGGTGATTTGCAGCTTACCTTGATTTGGCACGCTCACCTTATCATTCTATGTCGTTTGCACAAGTCTGCTTGGAAAGGACTCATTCAATTTGCCGGTAACATTGGCTTTATTTCAAATACACCTTTCCCTGTTGCACTGCTCCTTAAATCTGGGACTCGTTTCCTCCTGTGTGGTGGATGGTTGGGCGGCTGCCCGTGGGTCCCCCGGCTGACAGCTCTGTGTGTGGGTAGTGTTGCTCAGAGGTCTCTGGTGTTGTGGTCACACCAAGAGACTGGGGCTGTGATTTAACTGCTCTCGTTACTGTGCTTGTGGAGCCCATACAGCAAAACCAGAATGAGATGATGTGTAGTGAAGAAGAAAACCTGAAGAAAGAGAGAAAGCAACACAACCCCCCGTGTTTTTAAGTAGCTGAGGCAATTGAGTGTTTATAATACCTCCCTGGGAGCCATGTCCTCTCTGTCTGCCCTTGGCTAGGGCTGGGGTGAGAAGGGGCTGATGGATGAAGTAGAAGAGCGCAGATGGTGCTTCTGGTGGGTAGAGCTCCTCTGAGAAAACCTACCAGGTCTCGGGGTGCTGGACGGGTACCCCCACGCATTTCTAGTCTCTGGCTTCTGGGTTATTTATGCTGGGACGACCTTGTCTGGTGTCTGTGGCTGCCCTGGGCTCTGCCACTGCGGTCTCGGTCTCCTCTGCCCTGTGTTCTGCTGCTCAGACTGAAACGCTTCAGGGAGGTGGGTGCTGGTGTGCGTCGGTGCAGCGCAGTCCTGGCACCGTCCAGGGGGCACCTGCAACGAGGGATGATGGTTACACCGCAAGGGGCCAGCTGAAGGGAAGGATGTGTCTCAGTACTTGAACTGCTCCTGAGTTGTCTGAGGAATTATATCAAATACTGTGCTCATGATATCAATTATATAAAGTCTTTGCTTATCAAGACTTCTGCTCCTGAGAGGGCTACCTTGAACTATGGACATGAATGAATTGCACACTAAACTTACTGCTTAATCAAGATGGTTTTGCTTGGGTGTTTGGAGTGAGTGAAGGGCAGAATCACAAAGGCCAGTGAGAACAAGCAAGCAATTAAAGTGCAATGAAGTGAGCTGCCTTTTGAGATGGTAGGTGTTGCCGGTCACGTTTTCCAATGGGCTGGTCTTCGTTGCTTGTCTGTACGGGATGATGAGATTGATCCCTCACACTTTCCTCCTCCTTTCAGCTTTCCACCATCTTCTCATCAGACACTGCGATGGGCCCTTCCCAGCTCGGCCTCAAGATGCTGGTATAGCAGCAGGCAGCTGCGACCCAGAGGACCTGCGGTGGGACGTCGTTTCCCGCTGGGACATCCTTCACCCCCTCTCTCTCGGCAGAAGCGATGGATGCCCACGTGGACCTCCTGACGGAGCTGCAGCTGCTGGATAAGGTGCCCACGCTGGAGAGGCTGCGGGCAGCCCAGAAGCGGAGGGCTCAGCAGCTGAAGAAATGGGCACAGTATGAGAAGGAGATGCAGCATAAGAAGAGGAAGCATGAAAAGAAGAGAAATGCTGTTAACAGAAAGAAAGTGTCTTTTGAAGCCAGCGTCGCTCTGCTGGAGGCTTCTCTGAGGAACGACTTGGAGGAAGGTATGGCGCTTGTATCTGGCAATTTCTCTGGCTGCTTTGTGAGGTCCGTGTAGCGCTGTGGTGTGCAGAGACATCGGTGTTGACATCCATGAACTGGACTACCCTTGATGTGGTGTTGGTCTCTAGAGTGTTGCCATCTCTGGTATAACCGGGGTCCTCAAAGCACTGTGTGTGGCACCAGCATTACCTAGATTGACATCGGAAGTGGGTGCACAAATGCCAGGATAGGGCAGGAGTTATGACTGAGATTTAGGGAGAGGGAGGCGGCTGTCATCTCTTTCCTTTTCACACTTTCTACTTACAGAAGGTGTGAAAAACTTCTTTGCCTTCTGGGTGTGCCTCTTAGTGGTTTTACAGAAGTCTGTCACAGGGATTTACATGTCAGTGTAAATCTCTTCATCTTCCCTCCTTGGGAGGATAGATTGAGGGCTACATGAATATATGAATTTTTTCCCTATTCAAAATACTGAAAAGCATGGGTTTGCTTAATGCTTCCTATAGAAAAGAACTGAAAATTGTTCATAAATTTGTTTAATTGCACCATTTCAAAGTGGATCAAAGTGCTTTGCTTTTGCTTCAAAATCTGAAGGGAGGAAAAAAAAGAAGTCTGAAAGTCAATCCCCATTAGCCTCAGCACAGCACGGGGAAAACATGTAAGCTCTGGGGAGCCAGAGCTTACTTCTCTGCAGAGAAGTAAAAACATTTATTGGTGAAGATCTGGAGCAGCCTTTGGGGTTGCTGCTCTGCCAGGTAGAAAAATTGGTGTGATCTTCCTGATCCCTTGGCATGACAGAGGCAAGGGTGATACTTGGGAAACCTGGCCAGTTGAGTTTGCATCTCTGCTAGTTTCCAGCATCTTTTGCAATAAACAGTATACACTTGCCTGGTGTGTGGGTGAAAGGCAAGGATCTCGTCTTGTCTTGTGAGGAATCTCTCCAAGGTCGTGTCCCTGTTTCCGAGAAGGCCTTTTGGGCACTGTAACTTGTCCTTGTGTGTGTGCTTTTGGACTTGTTGGGAAATGGAGCATGTTGGTGGTGGGCAGTGGTGCCTGCCTGGGGGGTGTGTTACGAGCGTTTGCCAAGCCCTGCTATGTGTCTCTGGTTTTGTGTGCGTTTGTAGCTTCTCTCTGGGAGAGCAGACATGTGATAATGCCCTGGAAACTGCAGGCTTTTATTTGTTTCTTTCTTGCTTTAAAGGTTTAACAGTTGCTTCCAGCTCTTTGCTTCAGTGAACCTGTGTTTCTCACTCTGAGCTGTTGTAGTCTTATAGGAGAGCCCCAATGGTGAAGCCAGCTAGAGCCCTACTGTGAAATTGTGTCTGTTGGCATTGCCTGGGATGACAGATTTATGACTGTATCACCTCTGCCTGCGCTGGAAGATACTTTTCAGGGTATGGCTTTGGGTTTTGTACCCAGCTGCCCACCTGTAAGTGACAGGACACGGTGCTGGGGTGAATAACAAGCGTTTCATCCTCCTCCTCTTTGTGCAGTGACGGTGCCTGTGCTCAGTGCTTGGGCTGGAGGGTGTGATACGGCCAACAGGCCTGCAAGAGGTCCAACCTTGTAATTTTGCTTTCTGCACTTTCTGTCTTTGGATCTGGGAAGTTTGGAAGGAGGAAAGCTTCTTCATGGCCTTACAAATACCTTCTTATTTTGTGAGAGATGCACAAATGGTGGAGGTGTTTGCAAACATGGCACTGGCGGAGGGTAGTTGTGCACCCTGATGGCAGTGAGCAGGGAGGGCTGGCGAGTGTTCAGGCAGTGGCATTGACATACTGTGTCAATGGTGTCAGAGGTCCTGTGGATGATGGTCTTGCACCACGTGTGGATGTGGATACTTTGCTGTTGGGGATGCAGGAGTTGAGCTTTCAGCTCACAGCTTCACTCTTTCCCTCCTGTAAGGGAAAATCCATTGCTGCAGGTCTCTTTTGGTGCTATAATCATGTTGACCTCTTTCTGTAGGCGAGCCCAGGTAGTGGTCTTTAACCATCAGTCGGTCTTTCCGATGTGATGCTGGTTACACCAAATGTGATAAAGGCACTTCCTTGCTCAGTGGAAAATCAACCTCTCCACCCACTGGAGAGGGCAGGGGCAATATCCCTGTTGCCACAGGTGCTTCCCCTGTGTAGCTGGATTTTTCAGATGCCTCTAGTTTTAAAATTCTATTTGTTTTGTGGTCAATTAATTGAAGTCCTAAAAATAGTGTGTGGGCAGGTTCTGTCCCTGCTCTGCCCCCTCTGTGCTGTGGGACCAGTATAAATGGGAGGTGGGGACAGTCAAATCTAGATGCCAAACTGGGAAAATTCCTTATCAAGTGCCCTAAGCCAAAGTGACAGAATTCCTGGGCTTTTGGAGGTCCCGGGTGATTATTTTGATGTATGAATCACCTTGTATGAATCACCTTTTATTTCCATGGGGGAGGTGGAGGGGGAGGTGAAATATAATTGATTAAGAAGTTGAGAAGTTAGTGTGAGGTAGGTTAGAGAGCTGTGGGTGCAGCTGGCACGCGTCACCTCCAAGCTACCTCTGAGCAGGTGTGCCATTTCCATTCTTTGTTACTTCTCTGTATTTCTGTATTTATTTTAACATTCTCACTTCTGAAGTGGGAGAGGGGATGGTAGTAGGCACTGTGCAATGAAATCTGGAGAAAGAAAGCGGACTTGGGTGGTGAGTTAGCTCTTTATCAGGAAGGTGTCTTGTGCTGTGGTGTAACCTTCTGATCGAGGCGGGGGGTTGAGCCCTGTAGGATGGAGTTGGTGGGGGCAAAACCCTGCCCTGCTCTTTAGGGAGCAGCCCCTTGTCCCTGAAGACCTGGACGTGCTGACTTCCCTGTCCTTTGCCTGCGCCTTGCCCAGGTGTAGCTGAAAGAGCAGTGTTCATTTTGCTTGGCTCCCATGTGCCCGATACCCCATGGGTATCTGCAGCACCTTTGCTCATCCCTGTTTCCTTCTGCCATCGATGGCGCGGCCGCCTGGCAGAGCCACCCCGGCTTCCCACCTAACTTGTGACCTCTCTGCTCTGCAAACATGACAGCCTTGATGAAGAGGACTTCTTTCCCGTGTATGAAATCCAGGTTTGTCTGCAGCTGATGAGTCCACAGGTGACCAGGCATGTTGCAGAGTAGTTGTATCTCAGTGTGGTGGCAAAACAGGGCTGAAGGCAAGGGCTCCTAGGGACCGCCAGCCCTGGCATGGGCAGGAGCTGCAAAGGGGTGACAGCTCGTGCCCGCGTGGTCCTTGCATCTTCTGCGACAGATCTGTCAAAGCATCCCAGGTTTAACAAACAAGCTGCTATTTAAAGCTCCTTCGGATCTCTGCTGACAGAGCCAGGGCAGGGAGCGCACCGCAAACACGCCGGTGGCAGATGTGAGCAGACAGTCACGCTGGGGAGAAGTAGGTGATGGGCAGCAACCCCAGGCTGAGGGCAGCGATCCCCTTGGGCTGCAGCATGCTGGCTGGGACCTTTGGTTTGGAAAGCTGAAACATCTACAGGCAGTTCGTGGGTGAGCTCCGAGGTGAGAGCAAGGCACTCCCAGTTGCCACACTGGACCCGCTCCACTCTCCCCTGCGGAGGAGCTGGGAAGGGCATGCTGTGGAGGGGCATCATGCACAATCACTGTTGTAAATGGAAGTACATTCAAGCGGTCACCCAGCTGTAGGCACGATCTGAGCTGGTGGCAGGGGGACAGTGCAAAGGGTAGGACACTCAGCCCATATGGAGCTTACGGGCAGCAGCAGTGTTGTATACAACCTCTGGGCTGTTGTAACGGCTGCGAAGGAGAGTTGCTTTATAATGTGATAAAATAATGCTTCATAAGCTACTGTACTAATTGCAAAGAAATTGTGAGGGCTGCTGAAGGCTGTGGCCCTTTGAGGCCATCCTGCAAGGTGATGGACTGAAACCATGGGGAAGAGGCTGGTCCCTGAATGCAGCCCCGGCTGCTGCAGAGTTGTCGTGTCCAGGTCTTTCTACATTGCTGAGCTCCTATAAAAGCAGTCCCAGAGCACGCGGAGAGGAGCTGGTGTCTGTAAATCAAAAAAAGATCCCAGAGATGGGTAAAGTGGTTGCCTGTACAGACATGCGGCACTTGCTGCCTGGAAGTTCCTTTGCACTCCCGGCACGTTGGCTGCGGGAGCTCCCACCTGTACGACAGAAGCTGGAGGGGTTTGTGTTGGCTGGGGTGTGAGCTGTGTTCCCTTCAGTGAACCAACGCAGAAATAAAGCCCTCAAAGGGCCGACTCACCTTCCAGCAACGCTGGAGGTGCCCTGGTTTCTCCTGCTGTGAGATGAGAGCTGCCTCCCCACAGGTACCCGCTGCCCCCCCGGCCGTGGCTCCGGGAAGCATCGCTGCAAAGTCCTGCAGCTCCCACCTTCTGGCACTTCATCCTGCAAGAAAAACCTCGTCAGAGCCGGGGTGCTGCATAAAACAGCATTTCTGCAGAAGTTTAACCATGCAGATCCTTATGGCTGGTGAGCCAGAAAGTGAATGAAGACTCAGGATTGATGACCTTGGGCTTGGCAGCCGGGAAAGCGGTTCCCATTAGCAGGGCAGCGGGCGCAAGTGTGGGGCTCACTGGGTCGAGCGCCGGCGTGGAGGCGATTCCCCTGAGGAGGGTATAAGTATTGCGCAGCTTGCTTGTATAAATACATCCCCCACGTTTCCCTCGATGACGACCCTTAAATCTCCTGTAAATGTGCGGCAATGACAAGTGTGACAAACCCTTTCGGGAGCCATCCCCAGGCAGCTCCTACTGCGCTCCCTTTGCACCTTTCTGGAATAAAACCAACCTTGTCATTTGCAAAGGCACTTTAAAAAGAGGCCCTAATTAGTGTCTATAAATTGCTTGCTTTAACCTTTCCGAGTTGATGTGAACTGTTCCCTTGTTACAAAAAACCTTTTATGAGGTGCCTTAATTTTCCACCCACATTATTAGTCTCCTGAAGCTTTTTGCATGGAGTTCCTGTGTCCACGTCTATGAGCAAGTGCGTTTATCTGTCTGAG